CCATCCACCGCCACCACCACCACCGTCCACCACCACCGGCGTCAACGTCCACCACCACCCTTCACCACCACCCTCCACCACCACCACAATCGTCCATACACCACTACCGTACACTACTACTATTAATTTATATAGCAATGTACAGACATTAAAAAACAAACAGTCTTCTTCTTGCAGACCGCAGACCTTCGGTCCACCACTTCTCCTGCAGATGTCTACAGTAGTGGTCCGCAGACTGCAGACCTTTTCCCGTAGAAAAAACAAACACCCCCTTATGCTACCATAGCCTCTTCTCCCCCTATTGATCTGTAAAGCAATAAACTCCTCTCCTTTCAAAGAAATCAAACCAAACACCAAAAATCTAAATGGGTAGGAAATGATCATGTGCTTACACCAAATTGATATAACTCCAATTTCCAACAACAAAACATTGATATACAAAGTAATTGTCAGAAATATCATAGTTGTAAATATGTATTATGATCATATGAAATCAACTAAAATTGCATAATGTAAATAGAAAACACAGAACAAAAACCATGAACACCAAGATTTGGATTAAAGAAAAAAACCTAATCTTTGAGCGAGAAAATATACATATCATTTGTAAACAGAGCTAATCTTTTCATTATGTGAGGTCCAGTCAGAATATTACCTTGGCCAATCGTTCCTCACGTCTTGCGAACTTCCTCTCCCGACTAGCCTTGTTCTTGGCCCTCTTAGCCTCAAATTGATCAGATAGAGTCTTCTCTCTGGCCTTTTCAGCCTTTGATTTGTGGATGCTCTCCATTAGCACACGCTTGTTCTTGAAGACATTTCCCTTCACTTTCATGTACATATCATGGTACATGTGCTTGTCTATCTTCTTGGATTCCCTGTACTTGCGAAGTAAACGCCTAAGCACTCTCATCCTCCTCATCCAAAGGACCTTAGTCCGCAACCTGGCCTCCCTTGTACCCCTGCGTTTACCTTAAGAGACAACAAACCGGTGTACAAACCCACGCATCTCAAACAACATAAACACCTTTTGTGTTCCAGTTCTCAAGCAAAACTAAAAATTTTGTTTTGAATACACTGAGGTAAAATCAAACGTTTGTATTAGATTAGGTAGGATGCTTACCATATCCAGAATGACGACCCTTTCTCTTTGCTTCCTTCATCCGGCGTGCCCGAGATCTGGAGTGGATCTTTGTTGGCTTCCTGATAATAAACCCATCCTTCACCAATTTCCTGATGTTTTGGCCTGCATATTTCAATATTTGCAAAATTCGAAACATCAACAAGAGCGTAACAATATGAAGATTTCATCTTTTTGCAGAATTTGAAACATCAACAAGCAACATATAATACTAAGATTCCAAATTTTTCGATTCGATCAACGACGAAAAACACAATGAAATCACGTAATCTAGAAATTTCCAGTTACGCAATACGAAATTATGCGACAGAAACATGGAGTTTCGAATCTCACGCGAGTTGGCAAGGGAGATTTCACTGACTTCATTGGGATCGAGCCAGACCTTCCCCTTTCCGCAACCGAGCACGCTGGCGGCGAGCCGCTTCTGCAACTTCAGAGACACCATTTTCCCCAACGAAACACCGGCCGAAATGAAGACTCGGAGGCAGCGGAGCAATTATATCCTTCAAATGTCTAGGGTTTCAGATTAATGGGCTGAAATCCGTTTACGTCAGATAAAACCCACAGTCCATAAATGTTACTATAATACAATGACTTGGCCCAATAAACATACTTGTGGGCCTGCCAAATCCAACCCAAATACGAAGTGCTGTCGGGTTTGGTTCGGATAATGTAATTAGGGGGTAAAAAACCCGAATCAACATGGTTCTATAGTGAATCGTTATGATATCGAATCGTTTACAGTATTTTTAAATAGGATTAATTTTTTCATCTCGAATTGAAACCGAATCGATATCAAATGAAGATATACTAAATCGTTTATAGTGTTTTTAAATGAGACTAGACAAATCAAGAATCAATGCATACACATCCAATTTAAACTTTAAAATGTTGCAAAATTATTATTTTTGCGAATCAAAGTATATTAAAATAAAGTAACACAAAAAAATAAAAAATTTAAATTTAAATGCAATTAATGCTTATGACGCATGCTTCTGAAGTGAATGGATGATAACAAAATGATATTTCAATATTGTGTGTTGATAATTTTATATTCATCTACAAAAAGTTAAAGCTCAAATAAAATTACAATGTTCATATAATCAAATTTGAACCAAATATTAAAAATAAACTTATTATTTAATGAAAAAATATAAAAATATTATTATATTTATAATATTTTAGTATAGATATTCAGTTCGGATTTTGGGAATGTGGAGTTACCTTGTACCATTCCCAAATATCAAACCGAATGTTCGATTCGATAGGATTCAGTATTTTAGTGGTATTCTTCTGTTAAATACTTTTTGGTTTAGTTTTCTCGTTTTTTCCGATAATTTTCAGTATCTTTTCGGTTCTTTCATTTTTTAAAATTTTTTTATTATGATATTTCCATTATAATCCTATTTTTATTTAGACTATTGACTTTATTTATCACATCAAAACAAACATGGAAAATCTTAAAAAATTTCTAATTTCTCTTAATCTTCGTGTCATGTCAAATCGAAACAGAAATTGTTGAACGCATGGAGTAACATAATACAAACATCTATTATTAGTGGTGTAAATATGGAGTGATAGAAATATATTTTGTGAGGGTGTGAAGAAAAATAATGAGGTGTAAATGTGTGAACTAATATGATTTGTTAAAATTAAAATTAATTATTTTTTGATTGATTTGAGTTAAAAATAATTTAATGATCACGACCACGCCACATTTGGCAGAGGTGGTGTGATCACGACCAAGTTTGCTTGTCGTGTTGGTGGTGTCAAGGTGGTCATACCGGGAAGGGGTGTGAGCCGTGTGACGCCTCTTTTACACCGGTGTCAAGTCCAACTAATCTACACCTCTATTTTCTTTTTTCCTTATTTTGTTTAAACCAAACAAAAGAAAATAATTTTTTTTTTCTATTTTTCTTCTCTCCTTTTTTTTGTTTTCATTTAGTACAAATAAAAATTGGAGAGCACTCGGTTCCCCTTCCCCGTCAATGATCGACAATTCCCAGGTAATACTTTAAATTCCGAATTCTCCGTCAATCAATCAATCGGTAGCTGTTGATTTATACTCTACTGAATTTGACAGTCCGTGTTTTTTAGTTGATCATGGCGGAGATGCCGGAGAAAGGGGAGAGCAACGGGCGGCGGCGAGACGGCGGGAAGGGGAGGACGAGGACAAAGGTGCAGCTAAACCTGGGCAATAGCGGCGGGATTCTGGTACTGGTCGGTGGGCTGATGGCCACTGCCATTCTTTCTTCAGTTTTCCGAAGGCGGAGGAAACCGGTTGACGAGGTCCATAACACCCCAGAGGCGGAGGAGGACGGCGGCGCGGAGGCCGACAGTGTCGGCGACGATGAGGACTTGCCGAAGAATTCGGCTCAACTCATCCTACCAGATTCTTCCCCTCTCACGCATCATCAAGAACACGTGAATTTACGGTTAGCTAATTCAGTTTCTATTTTATTTTACATTTCAATAGTAAAAACAAATAAAAAAAATTGATGATTCATATCCGTCATGTGCCAATTATACCCCAAATTTTGTAACATTGGATTCTAAACAAGGGTAAGTAACTTGAATGTATGAAGTAGATGACAATGTAGAATTGATGCTAGCTAAATTGAAATAATCAAACGATTTGATCAATTTAATGGGTCGTCTATGTCCTCGGAATCCAACGACAGAGACAACCAGACCGATATGCAGGGGAGCGATGATGAAGAACTGGAGAGCCCAGCAAGTGGTGTCCATGACACCATTCCAGAAGATCAAGAAAGCCCTCCGAATGCTACGGGGGATTTGAATGAGACGAAGTTTGATGTTTCTGCAGCAAAAGAAGAAATGGAAATTACCTGTTGTGTAGATAACGATGATGATGATGATGATGATCAAAAGAAATATACATACCCAGATATTCTTGATGATCCTACAACGAATAATGTAGTGAAAACCCAAGATTTAGATTCTATTCATGATCCTAAAGATGGTGTGGCCATTCATGGTCTGATGAGACTCCAAGAGCATAATGTGAAAGAAGAAGAAGAAGAAGAAGAAGAAGAAGAAGAAGAGATAATAGCGGAAGCCATTAATGGCGGCGACAAGCAGCAGAAAAATGATAGCGATGATTGTATGAAGATGAAAAATTATATTCTGGACCGTCGTTTCACAACCACGTTCGGATCAGAAAGGAGAATGGTAATTGCAGGAGTTGTTGCATTGACCGCGGTAATGTGTTCTTGTTTCTCGTGCTTGTTTGGGATATCTTTCTTGAAGTATTGCATTGTATTGTTGCCTTGTCTGGCATCTATGGCGGTCTTGTTCTCCAACTTCAACAAATTCTAGCTACACATTAAATAAAAGTTAAGCTAGTATGATTAATTAATCATAGAACTATGCTGTTTGGTTAACATCTACTGCACTAGGATGAGGCAAATTTTGCAATTTCGCTACCATTTTGGTATTCGATTGTCACCCGGGCCGCTAGGGAGGACTCATACTGAAGAGTACCAAATTGGTCTCAAATGAATCAGTGTCATTTTATGACACCTAAAACCAGTGTAGTTTGAATCCCATAACGGTGAAGATCGAATTCTAAATGTTACATTGTGTTATGAACTCCAGAATAGAAATGCTTGTAGATGTGGGCTAGATATCACTGTGGTATTCTTGTATTGCGTATTTGTACTCTCTTTTCGTGCTATTGGAGTTGGTCAGACAGAAGAGTCTCGTGGATTTTTACTCTTTCACGTTGAAAGAGTTCTCGACCTTAAAATCTTGTCTCTTATTGTTTATTGTGTTTGGATCAACTTGTTGCTTGGATTTGTTTTTGGGGGATATTTGTGTTTGGGTGACCTTTTCTCTTGTATCAAACCAAAAATATTCCCCGAGTATAAGACTATGAGTCAATGACAACCAGGGTGAGGGTCCGCGGAGCAATAACAATCATCCCACTCTAATGGACGAATGCAAACAAACCTAACAAAGTCAATAGTCAAAGTCAATGACAACTAAGTTATAGTGCTTTCCATACAAATAAAAGAATAACTTATTAGTTACCTAATTTGAATTATAATCTTAGTCTATAAGAGATTAAACAAGAGTTTGTTATTTAGGTGTAAAAGTTTCAAACATTTGATATCTTTCTTGTTTATCGTTTTTCTTTCTCATATCAAAACTACATCAGATTTTACTAAAATGTCACATATATATAATTTGGAACCAAATTGATTTTGACAAAGCCATACGATACATCATAATAATCTTGAATGGAGTAAATTATTAATTATGCAAAATTAATTTTGAAAATGCACTTTAGTATTAGATATATAATTCTTTTTTAATAAAGGTGATACCATAATTTTAAGAATTAGACCGGAGCAGCCCGTTCTGAGCAAGAACCAGCAAACTTGTGACCAAATGAGTTCGGTCCAAGCCAATATACCACAATCTACAACGAACCAGCTCAAACCAGTAAGAAATGTCCGGTTAATGGACAAACCAGGTTTCCTTTTTTTGCGGAAATTTCCAAAAATCTACATCCATAGGATTTCAACACTATATCTCTTAAATTAAATACATTTCATGATTACAAATACAGCGTACATATCACAGAAATATGTAATTTAAATAGGTTTAATTTTGAAAATATTGGGCAAATATTGACCAAATAAAATCACTTTTTATTGTATAAATATAAAACGATTGTAACTTTAGTCATATATCATAAATTATATCTTGACCGGTTCGATCTTGGGTCCTATTCTGAGAATACCAAATGGAGGCATAGCAGCGTAAGTATGAATTGGACAAGATTCCGTCAAACTAAGACTAATGAGTGAATGCTTATTAGCTTGCTCCAGCCCAGACAGGCTGCTTACAATTCAGCCATGCATGAATAAAGCACTCCCTAATGTATTGTACATTTGTACTCCCTAAGAACTTGAAATTAATTAATATAATGATTTTAATTTCTTTTATTTTCATAGTCATAAGTCTTTCTATAATTTTGACTAAAAAGGAAGTGTTCATGTCATTCTTTTCAAAATAAATAGAGTGACAATGTGCATTCCTAGTGTCGAACTACAACCACAAACTTGAATTTTTAGTCGAGTTTGTTATTTGATATGGTATCAGAACTTTATTATTCAAGAGGTCACAAGTTCAAACATAACCCGCCACTCTGTTTCAAAAAAAAAATATTCACGTGCAAGGCTCGAACGAAAAAGAAATCTCGCAAACACGTGAGGGGCGTGTTAGAGTATACGAATCTTTCCTGGGCCCACCAAGAAAGTTTTTATGTATTAACACGTTCCCTCACGCGCACGTATGACTTCTTTGAACCTTGTACGTGAAAACTTATTTTTCTAAAAGTGAATTACAATGAGTTTCAACTTTGTGACCTCTTGGTTAAAAAGACTTTGATACTATACTAAGAGCGCTTTTCAATTCAGGAACAATCAAACTATCAATTTTTTCATACAATTATATTAAATAAGTAATAGAAATAAGTTGATAGAAGAAAACACACTATTTTCCTAAGAAGATGCACATATACCAACACTTAAGGTGTATATAGGAATTAAAAAACTAAGCATTAATGTTAACTTTTTGAAAAGACTATCTAAACCTGATAATTAATGGTAACGTTTTTAAAGTCAATTTACTATGGAATAAATTTTATCCAAATGTTAAAGTTGATAGAAAATGTTATTCCAAACAAGACTTAGCTTCTTGGTGATAGTGATACTTCATGAATATAACTCCACTCCATCCTCCCTCTTAAGAAAGCAATGTATCAATTTGATGCAATCCAAGCTCAGTATCACTTTTTTTTAGGTTAATCAGAATATTATGTTTTTTTGTATTATTTGTTTTTCGTAGAAGGGGAAATAAACTCCATTATTTAGCTGAAACATTATTACCGTACATTATTAGGAGTCGTTAATTTCATTAAAATGTCTTTATGTGTGTAGGCAATCAATACTCCCTCTGTCCGGAAATATTCTTCCCGTGTTGACTTGGCACGCTTATTAAGGAATAGTAAAAAAATGCAAAATTTTCAAAAATTCACATACTATAAACTTTTAAATCTTCTTTTATTATGAAAAAAGTAGTAAAAAAGTAGATTTGTGATAAAATAGAAGGGTATTATTGATATTTATCCTTAAAAAGTATACTAAAAAAGGAAATGAGAAGAATATTTCCGGACGGACCAAAAAGGAAAGTGGGAAGAATATTTCCGGACGGAGGGAGTATGACATTTAACTTCCACATTATTATTGAGGTTCCACTTTTTAGTCTTAGTATTTTGAAGGAGCAATGCTACGTTCACAAACAGAATGGTCACAAACATCACAAACTTACCATTTATGGTTTAAATTTTCATTTTAAAATTACACTAGACCATTTAAAGTTTTTTATTAAAGTTCACACATAGTAAGTTTGTGAAGTTTGTGACTTTTTTGTTTGTGAATCTAGCATTTCTCATTTTGAAAATATATACTGGAGTATTTAACGACCACATCAGAATATATATTTAATGATCACATCAATTGTTTAGTTTTATCATTTTTAAGATAAATTAGGATCATTTTAAAAATTCAAAACATCACTAAATTTTCTAGCAGTAGTAACCCAACCCTATTATAGTTGTAGATTTTGTTTATGCGTACTTTCTTAACCTATTGAGAAACCGAAGGTTATTATCTTCACTACGGATTGAATTCGTAATCCCTTATTTATGAAAAAATTACTTTGGTGTCATTAAACGTTAACGTCTAATTTTGGCATTAAAAAGGTATATAACCATAATGAATTAAATTATGTGTACCCCAAAAATTGTATTTCACTTTATACTCACAATGCATCACTAACATTTTGTGCTAGTGTAATGATACCGTGATGGTTTACAATGATGACACAATGTTAGAATATAAATAACTGTTCCTGGGCCACAACCACAAGCTTGAGCTTTTGGTTGAGTTGGTTCCTTGACATGGTATCAGAGCCTCGTTGACTAAGAGGTCACGGGTTCGAAACTCAGCGCCACCCAGTTTAAAAAAATTAAGGTTTCACGTGCAAGGCTCGAAAAAAACTACGCCTGCACGTGAGGGGGCGTGTTAGAATATAAATAACTGTTCCTGGGCCACAACCACAAGCTTGAGCTTTTGGTTGAATGGGTTCCTTGACACACAAAAATGTCAATGTAAATTTTTATTATTGAATTGACATTTCATGACAGTGTGAATTGTTAAAATGCTGGTGCACCTTTTTGGGTAGAAGGTACTTGGTGTACCCCTAACATGGTTGAACCATAATTGTTTGTTTTCTTTTGTAAAATTACTTGGCATCATTATTAAACGTTATTTAAAGCCTAAAGAATGAACGAAATGGCATTCATGAAAATGGTGTGGCAAGCACGTCGCCTGCTCGTAAAGCTAATAAAGTAATAGTAGCTCTGGCACAAGAGACTAAAACGTGTTTAATTAACTACCTATATCCTAATCCCACAAACTTGCTTTATATTTCAACTTTCTTTGAATATGGATTAAATATGAATGAATATATATACTTCAATCGCCCTTAAATATGAAAATTCAGGTATTACCTCGGAGTATATAATGTTTTAGACATGTGTGCTCTCTCAATATTTTATTAAGATTTTTTTTCATGCCTTTATAATTCGAGGGGTATGAATGTCCTTCCATTAAATGAATGTCATGTAAACTTCTAATGTCACGTCAGATTAGTCGATACGCTTCACATTAATTTTAAGAACTTGCAAAATGGCGCATGTGTTACACCCTCTCGTTAAAAAAAAAGTGTATTAAATATTAGAAGTAAATTAATAAAAGAGACCTAAAATAATTACCGTTAGTCGTTAGGAGTAACATGCACTAGCGTCATTTTTCATTTTTTTAAAATTAAAGTTAGACACGTTGATAAAGTTATTTGACAATAGAAACCAACATGGCATTGATTTAATGGATAGACAATCATACGCCCTTGAGTTTCAAAGGTACGAGAAAACTTTATTTTTATCAATATGTCTAATTTCATTTTTAAACAATATTACGAGTTTGTTCAATTAGCCTAAACATTATGAACTACGAGTTTTGATTTGACCGATATACAAACTTTCTTACCCCATCTGTCCCATAGATTACAATTTGTATCCATTTTTTTGAATTAATTTTATTTGAAAATTGATATAGAAATAAAAATAAAATTTACATATTACTCCGTAAAAAATTACATCAAAAGTTGAATAAAACAAGATGTGACAATAAAATATTTTAATTTAATTTATTAAATAATCAATTAAAATTTACTAAAAAACAATTGTTATCGTAATTTTGGAAAAATAAACAATGCAATCAATAGTAGACCTAAGAGAGTATTGGAGCTCAAAAAGTCTTAGATCCAAAAGTATATAGAGATCTACGCGCTTTCATACTATCCAATCCACTTGCTTGTACGTGAAAATTCCATTTTGCAACCAAATCAACATTATTATATATATCCTTCCTAATTCATTCTATATAAATTATAATCAAACAACCTATCTTATATGATTACCCTTTTTCCCAATCCTAAATTATCGGGTAAACAATACACAGAATATATATAAATTATATACAAACATATAAGCAAACAATTAATCACATACGAGGATAATATATTCACAATATGGCAAAAGATTGTGACATTTTCCTCTTATTCAGCTGCATGACTCTTGTCATGATTCCGATATGGTGTCCTCAACGTTGCGCCGCCGTATCCAGCGGTTCTCAGCCGCCGCCTCCGTCGAGTCCAGTCCCCATATCCACCGTGTGCAAGTCCACGCCCTACCCGACCTTTTGCCAAACAGTGCTTCCGGGCGGCAACACCTCCGCCAACTTCTACGACTACAGCCGCTTCTCCGTCAGCAAGTCTCTCTCCGCCGCTCGCAAGTTTCAAACCGCGATTCAAACCCACATCCGCCGGAGATCCAAGACGCTGACCAATCTCGCAGTCCGGGCGCTCGAGGACTGCGAGCTTTTGGCCGGTCTCAACGTTGACTATTTGACCAGCTCGCTGAGGGCGGTCAACGGCACGTCCAGAACGCTCCCGGGGGCAGAGGCTGAGGACGTGCACACGTTGCTCAGTGCCATTCTCACCAACGTGCAAACTTGCGTGGATGGGCTCCGAGACGCTTCTGCCACTTGGAGCGTCAAGGATGGTCTTGTGACGCCTTTGGCGAACGACACAAGACTTTTTAGTGTTTCTCTCGCGTTGTTCACCAAATGTTGGGTTCCTAATAAGAAGAAAAAGGTATATATTCTTTTTGTTCACTACTTAGAATATAATTATCTTTTCAGAGCCTGAATCCTTTTGGTTAAGTTGGTTTATTAACATGATCGATATCACATAAGCAAATCGGGTTCCAAAAAGGCCGTCTGCCGCTAACGATGTCGGAAAGGACGAAGGCGATTTTCGATAGGGTAAGCGGGAGAAAGCTTCTCCAAGCACCGTCGCTAAACAAGAACCTGCCGCAGCAGGTTCTGGTGAAAGACATTGTGGTGGTGAGTCAAGACGGGAGCGGCAATTTCACCACTGTCACTGAAGCAGTTGCCGCCGCTCCCAACAACTCCAAGTCCACCGATGGCTATTTCCTCGTCTATGTCACTGCTGGCGTATACGAGGAATATGTCACCGTGGGGAAAAACAAGAAGTATTTGATGATGATCGGCGATGGCATTAACCAGACAATTATCACTGGGAATCGGAGCTTCGTCGATGGCTGGACTACTTTCAATTCTTCTACTTTCTGTAAGTCTTCTTAAGAGTACTTACTTCCTTCGTCTCAAAATAATTATTTTCCTTATCTTAGATGAAAAATGAAATACTTATACAATTTTAATATATATATATATATATATATATATATATATAGAATAATATTATTGTAAATTAAAAATCATTTAATTCATAGTTAATTAAAATTTAGAAATATCATAATTTTATTGAAATGAGTATCTCAAGCATTTTATGTGCATCTCCAGCTGTGGTTGGAGAAGGATTTGTGGGGGTAAACATGACATTTCGCAACACCGCCGGGGCAGTCAAGCACCAAGCGGTGGCGGTCCGGAACGGCGCCGACCTGTCGGCGTTTTACCTGTGCAGCTTCGAAGCCTACCAAGACACTCTCTACACCCATTCCCTCCGGCAGTTCTACAGGGACTGCGACGTCTACGGCACCGTTGACTTCATATTCGGAAACGCCGCCGCCCTGTTCCAGAATTGCAATATTTTCCCGAGACTGCCCCTGCCGGGTCAATTCAACGCCATCACCGCCCAGGGCAGAACCGACCCGAACCAGAACACCGGAATCTCGATCCTCAACTGCACTGTCGCCGCCGCGGCCGACTTGGCCGGAAGCAACGGCGGAACGGAGACGTTTCTGGGGCGGCCGTGGAAGCAGTATTCCAGGACGGTGTACGTGCAGTCGTACATGGGCAGTTTGGTCAATTCGCAGGGGTGGCACGACTGGTCCGGGGATTTCGCGCTCAACACGTCGTACTATGGGGAGTTTAATAATACCGGACCGGGTTCGGACACGATGCGGAGAGTGAGCTGGACCGGGTTCGGACTGGTCAATGGAACCGATGCGGGTAACTTCACGGTTTCTAACTTTTTGTTTGGAGATCAGTGGTTGCCCCAGACCGGAGTTCCATTCTTCAGCGGCTTACTTTGACTCGGCCACCGCTTATTTGTCATCATTTTGTAATATTCATTTTTTTCAAATAAATTAATTACTCAATGTTAGAATATACAGATTTCTAACTTTGGACTCTATTCTTTCAATTTTAGATTCTGTGTTTTAGATTTTAATTTTCACACAATTAACTACATTTCAATTTTAAAATTTCAAATACAATTAATATATTCCATAATATGCAAATTGTAATTTTTTTCTCACTTCATATGAGAATCGTTAATGAAACATGTTCATATGTATCTCTAAGAAGTGTTGCAACTATAAAGAGCATACAGATTTTTTATATTGTCCTTTCTCTTTATTTCCTTGTTTTGAAGACCGAGGTGATTGCAAGGGTGATTTTCATTCTTCATGCATATCTTGTACGTAGTAAATGACTAAAAATAATAAAAGAAATCCTTAGAAGTGGACAATGAGAGTCATTGTAAAATCTTTACGAGATAGTAAAATTTGAAAATAGTCTTACAAAATCTCTGGTTCATGCAATTGGAAATAGTTATTGCGAAATCTCATAAGCAATGGAGAATAATCGCCCGAAATTCGTTCATGTAGCAATCGAGAATAACTGTTGTAAATTTTTTATTGTTATCAATAAGCATTATAGAAATGACAAATCTAGAGCTTTGAAGTGTACGTGAAACCGGAACATTAGTGAATTTCAAAGTCGTAAGCTACGAAATCAGAAAAAAAATTCCAAACCAGTTTGAAATTTGGTACATGTACTTTACGTTTTTATTTATACACTTTATTTATTTCTTTATTTAAATTTATAACACACTTGTTTAAGTTGCGAGGATTAGATATAAATAAAAACCTAGATCAATATTTTTTTAATAAACCGCCTAAATCTCAAAATATGTGGTCTGGACCTATTTGTCTTCCGGCCCATTTTTAGCCTGGGCCGAATCCGGTCCGCATATGTGACACGAGTACCCGACACGATGTTTGTTAAAGTAGTGCCAGGGGCAAAACCGAGAATTCCCAAGTGAAAATGGAAACCGAAACCTTCCCCATCATCATTCTCCGTCTATTTTCCCGTCCATTCCTAAATTGCCTCCGTTAGAAATGGTTCCGTCATTCTAGCGGATTTCCGGCTCCGCAAAGGCCACAACGGACAATGAACTTGTCCAAGATGCGGCGGAAAGTAGTTCCGGCGCCGTCCGAGAACGGCGAATCAGCCGACAAGCTTGACCAACTCCTCCTCTCCTCCGCCATCTGCAACGGAGACGATCTCGGCCCCTTCGTCCGGAAGGCTTTCGCCTCCGGGAAGCCCGAGACTCTCCTCCACCACCTCCGCCACTTCGCTCGATCCAAGGAGTCGGAAATCGAGGAAGTCTGCAGGGCTCACTACGAGGACTTCATCACCGCCGTAGACGACCTCAGATCCCTCCTCTCCGACGTCGATTCCATCAAGTCGTCCCTCTCCACCTCCAATTCTCAGCTCCAGTCCGTTGCTGTACCGCTTCTCACCTCGCTCGACACCTTTGTTGAAGCTCGAAACAAGTGCAAAAATATCAGCCTCGCCATTGAATCCCTGCAGACTTGCACGAAATTAGTTGAGCTTTGCTTGCGAGCTAATTCTCATCTCGAGAAGAACAATTTCTACATGGCTTTGAAGTGTGTGGACTCAATCGAGCGAGATTTTCTGGATGAGACACCGTCATCCACACTCCGCCGAATGCTTGAGAAGCAGATCCCGTCGATTCGATCGCATATTGAGCGCAGAGTGAACAAGGATTTCGGAGACTGGCTCGTTGAGATCCGAGTTGTTAGTCGGAATCTAGGCCAATTAGCCATCGGACAAGCCTCCGCCGCTCGACAAAGAGAAGAGGAACTTAGATTCAAGCAGCGACAAGCCGAGGAGCAAAGTCGACTCAGTCTGAGGGACCGAGTTTATGTTCTTGAAGAAGAAGACGATGATGACGGGCTCAATGGAATCAGCCTTGAGAGCAGAGACGGTTACAACAATGGAGGAGTTAATGGAATGTTGGGGTTCGATTTAACGCCATTGTATAGGGCATATCACATACATCAGACTCTAGGGTTTGAGGATCGTTTCAAGCAATACTATTTTGAGAACAGAAAGCTTCAATTGACATCTGATTTCCAGGTATCTTCAATGACGCCCTTTCTAGAGTCCCACCAAACGTTTTTTGCACAGATTGCTGGGTTTTTCATTGTTGAGGACCGTGTTCTGGGAACTGGCGGTGGATTGATATCCAAACAGGAGGTGGAGAACTTATGGGACACAGCTGTTGGTAAGATGTGTTCTGTCTTAGAAGACCAATTTTCAAGAATGCAAACTGCAAACCATTTGCTGTTGATAAAGGACTATGTTAGTCTTCTTGGAGTCACATTGCGCCGTTATGGCTACCCTATTGATGCTTTGTTTGATGTTCTGAGCAAGCATAGGGATAAATATCATGAACTCCTCCTGTCTGATTGCCGTAAGCAGATGTCTGAAGCTCTATCTGCTGACAAGCTTGAGCAAATGTATATGAAGAAGGAATACGAATACTCCATGAATGTTCTATCCTTTCAGCTCCAAACATCACATATTGTCCCTGCATTTCCTTATGTTGCCCCATTTTCGTCGATGGTTCCCGATTGCTGCAGAATAGTGAGGTCATTCATTGAAGATTCTGTGAGCTTTATGTCATATGGCGGACATCTTGATTTCTACAACATGGTCAAGAAATACTTGGACCGTCTCTTGAATGAGGTCCTAGATGGAGCTTTGCTGAAACTCATCGATACCTCCATTACCGGTGCCACTCAAGCTATGCAGATGGCAGCAAACATGGCTGTGTTTGAGAGGGCTTGTGATTTCTTCTTTCGCCATGCCGCCCAACTCTCTGGAATTCCATTGCGAATGGTGGACAGGGGCAGGAGGCAGTTCCCATTGACTAAAGCCAGTGAAAAGGCAGAAGTGACACTTTCTGGCTTGCTCAAGCAAAAAGTTGATGGGTTTCTCATGCTGATAGAAAATGTCAATTGGATGGCTGATGAACCTGTGCAGGGTGGGAATGAATATGCAAACGAGGTGATCATCTTCCTGGAAACCCTTGTCTCTACTGCCCAACAGATATTGCCTATTCCGGTTCTCAAGAGAGTTCTGCACGATGTTCTTGCTCACATATCAGAGATGGTGGTTGGGGCATTGCTCGGTGAATCTGTTAAAAGGTTCAACATCAATGCCATCACGGGTCTTGATGTGGATATTCGTCTCTTGGAATCATTCGCCGAAAGCCAAACTCCCCTGCTGTCTGATGCAGATTCCAGTCAGTTGAAAGGGGCATTGGTCGAGGCCAGACAATTGGTTAATTTACTGCTGAGCAATCACCCAGAGAATTTCTTGAATCCAGTTATTAGAGAGAGGAGCTATAATGCATTGGATTACAGAAAAGTAGTGGCCATTTCAGAGAAATTGCGTGACCAATCGGACCGACTATTTGGATCGTTTGGAACTAGGGGTGCCAAGCAAAACACAAAGAAGAAATCTCTTGACCAATTGATCAAAAGGCTCAAGGACGTGAACTGAGTTCATCCACTCAAATATCCATCTGTATGTACGACTTCCATATGCTCTTCTTCTACTCGTACTCGTGTTGATTAATACTCCGTAATTTACTACTTGTTTGATAGCAGTTACTCATTTCTTGTTGCATACTTGCATTCATTTCTTCCAAATCAATCCCATCCAATAATTGTTTGATTTCATAAAGTTTAAGAAAAAAAGTTGAAAAGCAAAAAGTTTATTTGAAATTTGTTTGAAGAGAAATGCTACTTTGGAGACAAAGTGTGTATATTTTAGGTTGCGGTCTTTTGTGCAATGGACGGGGATGGGGGAGGGCCAAAGAAGTGCCTAATTCAAATCGGGATACCAAATACTCCGTATTATAAGGCCGCATTGAACCAAATGCAGATCATACTCCGGACTATTTGGTTCATTTCTTTGTGACTCTCTCTATGAGAGGATAAGACATTTAAGATCCATTCACTTATCATCTCACAGAGTGCAATGCTCTTTCGATTTTACTTTGCTACCCCGGAGTAATTTATTTGTGAACATTCTCAGTAGTAGAATACAAAACTCCATCAGCTAAAGTCAAATTGACACTGAATCAATGCCCTTTCTTTATATGTCAATTGATCGTATTAATAAAAAGAATTGAATCCACTCAAATGTGACCATATATAAACGCTTGGTGTTTGACACTACATTTGTTTACTAATTCCCAGCTTCTGCCTCGGATCGAAATAGTTTGATAATGTTTTTGATAGCACTTTTAGTGTTTAATTCAGAAACTGAGGTCTTTAAAGTGTTTTGAATATGAGTAATGCTAGAGTCACAAACAACATGAACACAAACTACACATACTTACCATTTGTGTATTTAAATTTTTATTTTTTAAATACTTAAAATTATTTTTATTCACCTGGAAAAGTGCGCAAATGGTAAGTTTGAATACTCGTATTAGTTGTTGTATAAGATTGATGTTTGCTTATGGGGTTTAGAAGGACAATGAAGTAGAAACAATAAACATTGTCATACTTCTTCCTCTAAACAAAACAACAAATGGTAAATCAAATCTTGACATTCATTGGAAGATAATGAAAACCTCTTGAGGAGCTTCACCAAGTGTTAATCAATCTTTAAGTCGAGTTTTTGAGCTCAACCTGAATTTCTTTTATTCAAAGCTCACGAACTCACTAGTTAAGACGACAAACAATTTATCCACCTCGAGTTGAACTTAATAAATTCAAACTCGGCCCAAGTGTAACTGACTAAAGTGCCTATTTGACAACAAATCTAACATTTAAATTTGACATTTTAAAAATACAATTTAGTAACACCGTTTAATTTTGATATTTTCAAAATTAATCTCTACCATTAAAAACTTATTCAAAACACAAGACATCTTTTTTTACAATTGACCATTATTGATCAATAAGCCACACAAAATATTATCAGTGCAAATATGTACTCCCTCCGTCTCTCAGTTTTTGTCCACTTTAAACTTTTGGAATTGTTTATCTAAACACTTTGACTCATCAAATTCTCTCAATGTGTAAACCTAAATATAGTCATGTGTGTTCTTGTTTGATTTGTCTTAACATATAGATTATTAATATATAATTTCTATAATTTTTTAATATATAAATTACAAGATAAAATGAATTAAAGAAGTGCATTGTATGATGTGCAAAAATGAAAGTGGACAAAGGGAACAAGTACAAAACTTGAGATTTTGACATCAAAATATTAAGGATTACTCTAACTCGGTTCATTAATGAGTGGGACCAAAGCATTTGAAGCAGGAGAAGGCTAAAAATTCCCCTCTGCCTTTCACTCCAACTACCAAATCTACCCACCATACTTTTAGCCTTTGCAGTTAGCATTTGCTAAACACTCAAAGCCCTAATTTGGCCGAAGAAAATGGCTCCGTCCGCTCAACTGCTTTCCGTATTCCTCGCCTGCTCAACTATCCTCTCCGCCGTTCATCCGGCGGTCTCCGACGATTCGCCGACGGCTTACGATGTCCTGCGGCAGTACGGCTTCCCGGTCGGCCTCCTCCCGCGCGGCGTAACGAGCTACGAGCTGGACGCCAGCACCGGCAAGTTCTCCGTGTATCTGAACGGATCCTGCAGCTTCTCCATCGACGGGTACCAGCTCAAGTACAAGAGCACCATCACCGGGAAGATCTCTCCCGGAAAACTCTCCGATCTCGGCGGCGTGCAGGTGAAGATACTCCTCTTCTGGGTGAACATCGTGGAGGTCACCAACGACGGCAGCGAGATCGATTTCTCCGTCGGAATCGCCTCCGCCTCCTTCACGATCGACAATTTCTTCGAGAGCCCTCAGTGCGGATGCGGATTCGATTGCGCCAACGGGGGCAAAAAGGGAATTTCACCCGCTGCCCAACGCCTTATTTCTTCCTCTTGAGTCTGGTAATCTCGGGGGAAGGTGAAAAACACCGTGAGTAAGAGAAGGCCGGTTTAGGGCCTTCATTACCACCCCGGTTCAGCAATAATTCTGTTATATGAACCGGTTTGTTTAGTTCTACTGCTGTTCGGATGCTGCTATTTTAGCGTTTGATTAATTACTTAATCAGTCCTATAAAGGTGATTATCTATTTTAGCGTTAGATTGGATATGCTCTCCCCCAAAGTAGATCTTTGGGTTGTGGGATGTGAACTCGTGTTTGGTCAAAGTGGGTGTCTAATGGATTATATTAGGATATTTGACTTAAATTAATTTTAATTTAATTTATTTAAAAGTTTAGATGAAAATAAAAATATAATTTATACATTTACAGGTTACATAACAAATTCTTCTATCGCATGAAGTTTATACATGTACAAGTTAGATAAAAAATACTCCCTCCGTCCCAATTTAAATTGTCTGTTTTGATTTTTGGCCATATTTAAAAAAATAAAAAATAGAGTTGATTTTTCGAAATTGATATTACTTTTTAGGAGGGGTGATGATAAATGAGAAGATAAAGTGAAAAAGAGTGACTTATTTTAGGGGTAGTTTAGGTATTTCATTTTTAAAAGGTTACGAAAACAACTAACAGAAAACTTATTTTGGGACGGAGAAAAAAGGAAAACATGCAATTTAAAATGGGACAGAGGGAGTAAAATTTATACATTTGCAAGGTACTAAAAAAAATTTAATATATTACTTCTTCTGTCACATAAAACTTTTCAAACACAGAAGATGCGCGCCATAAAGATCTAATTTGTTTTATTTTCTAATTTGTTCATAATTTATACTACTTCATAACGTATGATATAATGTGTAGAAGGAGACGGCTTCCATGACATTGCCCGACAATGTCATTGGATGACGCGTGCTTCAGTGTCTCGTTTGTAAAATTGACGGTTGTTATCCCTAACTCTCCCAGTAAACCCTTCACCCCGTCCCGACCCGAACACACTCCCTACCCCACTTCAATTACACCTCACAAGTTGATTTTGACTTTGGAGTCAAAGTTTGACTCCAACGTCAAAATCAACTTGTGGGGTGCAGTTGAAAGGGTTGGGGGGTGTTCAAGTCGAGGTGGGGTGGGGGTGGGGGGTAAGAATCGTCAATTTTACAAATGGGGCACCGGAGCACCCCGGGTCATCCCATGACATGGGGTTCTAATGTCATGAGAACCCCACCGTGTGTAAAATAGGATTACTATATTTGATAATAATACACTCCCTCCGTCCCCAAATAGATTACAATTTTTTTCTCTCTCCTCTCGATAACTTTTGTTTGTTTACGCGATTTCATTAAGTATTTGATAAAATAAAAAATTCTTGTCACCTCTTGTTTTGTAGAACTTTTGACGTAATTTTTTAATATGTAATTTTTATATCTTATTGATATATCAATTTATAAATAAAATGATTTCAAAAAGTAGAAAATTTTACTCCGTAACCCGCAATTTATAATCAAATTGGGGACGGAGGGAGTAGTACTCTATCAAGTAAGTCAAGCACACCACAGAGCAAGAACACAAGAATGACATAGACCAAGAAAGGATTCATGTGCCTGAAATTATATTTTTTACTATGTTTCAAGAGTATACAAATGTGTGTATCAATAATTGAATGTCTCTCCAGCTCTTACAATCTATTTATATTGGGTGGAGGGGGTTAATTAAGGATACAAACTCATCCTCGGGCGTAGACCTAGCGCCAATCAACATCTACATAATGTTGATGGGTGCAAATCTCACCCTCAATCATGTTGTCCAACAGTTTATCGTGATTCTTGCTTCGTCATTAAGTCCCAAAGATGACGGGGTAAGATAGTGAAATGACTCTACACATGCCATCGCCTAGCATTGTGTCCATCGATCAAATCCCTGAAGTCTGCTATTTATAATTTTTATTTTTAAAATCAAAAAACAAAAAACAAAAATAAAACAACATAAAACTAAATAACTTATTGTTTACTTAATTTTGGTGCAAAATCAAACCAAATCGCTAACTTACATCACGTTTTGTCTTTCGTTTTGGGTGAAAACGAAACCAAAATCAAACACACTTCTAAATTTGTCTGTCATTTTATATTTATTGTATATTTGTTTTTTGAACATTTACGTTATATAAAATATTCACTTTTGTATATGGTTTTGCCACAAGCAATTTTTCAATAATATTCTTGTCACATCTTATTTAATATAATTTTAAATAATATAATTTATAATTTGTATTAAAATATCAATATGAAAATAAAATAACTAAAAAAATGAAATTTTAAACGTTGTTCAAATGAGAAGAAAAAATGGACCGATAGAGTAAAATATAAGAAAAACTTTTGATACATTGTCCGACATCAGTGTTAGAGGTCAATGTTTTGAAAAAAATTATTAGAAATAATCTATACCATTATCCAATTAAAATTTATTCAAAATACTAAAAGTAACGAAAAACTTAAAACTATCTTACTATTTTTTTGTGTGAAACCAAAGAAAAATACTGAATACGTCCACAATTTCAAAATTTAGCTTTAGGGTATGTTTGGATTGAGATAGGTAAAATTTTATTAGGTAGGTAATAAAAGATAGGTAAAGCGAGGTAATAAATTAAAAATTGTGGTTGGATATTTATTAGGTAAAGTAAGGTATGTAAAATAATAAAATTACCTAAATATCCTTGTTTGGATATTTATTAGATAAAATCAACAAAAAGAGAGAAGAAAATTAAGAAAACAGCAAAAAACGAAAAGAATAGAAAAACAAAAAACAAAAAAAATAGGAAAGACAGCAAAAAAAAAAGAAAAAAAAACAGACCACGATTTGGAACCAAAGGAAGGAAAAAAGGAAGAAAAAAAACACCGGCGCTTGGAATTAGAATTGGAATCAGCGCTAGAAAAAAAAGGAAGAAAAAAAGTGCGGCGCTAGAATTGGAATCACCGGCGCTGGAATTTGAAAAAAACAAACCTGGGTCTGTCGATTGTAGAGATCGAGTTGCAGCAAGAAGTGAGCAGCAGAGGGTTAATCCGTTGAAGAAGAAGAGGTGTGATGAAGGAGAAGGGCAAAGCGGAAAAAACTAGTTTTACCTCGTTTGACGGCCCATTCGGCGGTAGCCCATTTTTCACTGTTTAGAGGAACCTTAACTCCTTCCACCTCCTCTTACCTATCTTCCATTTCACTCCAAACAAGGTAACTTCTCAATTTGACCTTAGCCTACTCTCCCAACCTCCAACCAAACACAGCTTTAAAGCAAAATTTTCTTTCCGCCACTGTGTACTGAACTCAAATTAGAGTTGAAGAATCCAACATTCTTCTTTCTGAAACTATTCAAAATTTGTCAAAGGAAAATGCGTGCAGTGGACTCGAGAGCATAACTTCCTCCTTCATCTAATCGCGTTCTTCTGCCGCATACTACTGGTACGGGGGTTGGGTACTGATGCGGTGTTCTCTAATACCTAAGCACTTTATGATGATACAATTGCATTTTAGGTGTTTGTATGAATGCCTCAATGGAATACAACTGTTTGTGTCACTGTTTTTTCTTGTATGCTATGAATCTATTGATTTTGTATAAATTGTGAAGGGATCTTTTGACACTCCATAGTATATGTTTTTAATGAATTATTTAAGGTGGGTTTATGGGCATTACAGTTGGTCTTTCACCGAGTTCCACCACCTGGGAACTTAGAAATAAGTCAATAACGTTATAAGTAAATGAAGTTGAAGTTTGGAACAATTATGCAATTTTTAATTTGGATGGCTGGTGTTGAGACTCACTAGTGTTTACTTTTATGGTGAAGCGGGTAACGGGAGAAATAAGGCGGCTAATCTTCTTAATACAATGCTGCATGAACTCTTACTTGCTCTACTGGGTTATACCGGAGATCTCATTATTGATCAAAGAGAGCACCAACAATCACTTGGTGTGAAGTTGGCCCCCGACGCACCAATTGGCGAGGAACCTACTTTTGTGCTTGCTCCTGACCTGTCCTTCATCCAACCCAGTGACAGGTACAGTTTTTTACAAAAGGATCTCTATGTAGGCATGGTAATCCTAGTCACGGGCTAAACATGACACAACGTACTAACCCATACTACGGAGATGAAATCATACACCACACCTGACACAACACGAGATAGGCACATTCAAAATTTGCAATTGTGTTTATTTTGTGTTTGAGGTAGGATGAAATTAGTATACACGTTTTTCGTATGCATGAAACAAAAAACTGTACGAATGCACAAATTGCTAGGTCTATATGTGAGCCAACCACCTTTTCGCTCTTACTCTAGATTTTTTATTTTAATGTATAAATCCTGTCAATTTCACCATTAATGCAGGGATGTACTGAAGAAGATAATTGCTCTAGGTTTTTATTACCGAGAACTTGACAGATTTGCAACCAAGTCACGTAATTTGAGCTGGATTAGGAACAGTAGCGAGTCACCATTGCTTAGAGCTTCTGAATTGTTAAAGGGGCAGAAAGAGAAGCATAGTGTTTACAGAAGAGCCATTGCGAATGGGATTGTTGAGGTGCTGTCAGTATATAGGTCTGCTGTTCTGCATATTGAGCAGAAATTCTTGTCTGATTCATTACCAATCTTAGCAACACTTACCCATGGTCTCAATAAGGTCACTTTTTTGAATCTATACCGTTTTGTAGTGCATGCATTGAAACTTGATTGCTGCAAGAATTTATGACACATATACAGCATAGGTATTCTGTGTAGCAAATTTACGTGCATGTGACTTAGCCTAACATTTTTGGCAGTCGAATGTGTAATATTACATCAATCTTCAAACCCATTCTTGAGTTCTGATATCCACACCTTTCTCTCTGGAATCTAATAAGTTTATTTTTTTTGCATTTTAGTTCTTTGTCCTTTTGCCTCCTCTTCACGAGTTCATTTTGGAGATCGAGCGTAATAGTGTTTGTGGAGGGAAACTTCTCAATCTATTGCACAAAAGGTGCCACTGCGGCATTCCAGAACTACAGACATGCTTTCAGAGGTGTAAATACCAATACTTTTATGTTATGATGCTTGTATATGATGAATAACCGATAACACCCATATCTATTTTATGTCCATACTGCTTGTTCAGAAATTCTTTGTTTACTATCAAACAATTTCTGTGAATTTGATGCTCACATTGTTCTCCCCCTTATCACTTGAATTGTAGGCTTTTTTGGCATGGACACCAAGTAATGTATAATCAACTAATGTCATGGATGGTCTATGGGATTCTTCATGATCCATACAAAGAATTTTTTATAGGCAGGTAATGACCACTTTTCAAGGAGAAATCTATTGATTTTTTCCTTTACCATCTTTAAATTCCCCATCCAATGCAATTCTGTTGAATGTTTTCTTTTTATTTTTTTTGCTTTTCATGGATTCTACATATTTGTCCATTTCTCTAAGATACATAGATTATGCAAGTAGTATACAATGAAACTCATAGCCCTTTACAACGGCCATTTATAGAATGTGCATGTTGCGTTGATTGTTGGGTTGCAAATATAAAGTCATTTTTGTGGGAACACATTAAAACATTTTCTTTATCCTCTAAATTGTGAAAAGAGTTGATTACGTTTTTACTTTCACCAGATGATCTTTTGATGCTCTATCGTCCCTCTTGAGGGAGATCTTATGATAGGGGCAGGGTTTGAAAAGTATTACATTTGAGATTTTACGTATTCCATACATTTTTTTATTTCTACAAATAAGGAAGAAATATGTATACTTCAAAGTGCAATATATAAGCACAAGTGTTGTGTGTCTTTCCTATGCATTCTATTTATTCTACTTGATCACCAAATTATTTCTAATAACACTTGAAAAATATCAAAGTGAGACATTTTATGAATATGTTTTTTTATTAGAGGGAGCTTGCGTAAATTTTATATCTTCCACCCCACCTAAATCTCACCTTGAAGCATGTTATTTGTCAATTGAGATTTAGCATACCAAAACGGCCATTTCCCTGTTTTTAAATGCCTTTTTCTCCTTATTTTTCTTTAGGCAAGATGACAAAGATGTAGAGACAGACTCAAGTTCAGATGTGATCCCAAAATTTGCACATTTGTCGACAAGTGATGTTTCTCTAACTGATTGGCACTTGGGGTTTCATATTTCACTGGTATACTAAGATTCCATTATTTACTTTTAGTCTTGTGCAAAAAATAATTTTCTTGTATATATTTTGTTGAACTCATGAACATTGTGATTGGAAAACAGTGTATTTAATTGCTACTGAAAAACTTGCTCTGTTATGGGAAACTCTGTTATTGGCAGGAAAACATTTTCCTGCAAAGATTTAATGTGTTTGGCACCCTATTAGATGTTCCTCGTTCTTTAAGACTTTTATGGAATTAGAAGTCACTTTACAGAAATATTTTTATGCATTCTACTTTATGTGACAAACATTATACTATATACTCCCTCTCCTCCAAAATAAACTTCAGTCCCTCCGTCCCTTGGCCCTATCTTAACTTCACTTTTGTAATTTTTCTTGTGAAAACATGTCATGTTTGATCGTATTTTTTCATAACACGTATTCCAATTTTCCTATAAAAAACTTCTTGGTTTCACTTTCACAGAGTTTAAGAAGTGTTGAAAAATGTGGTTGGAATTTGTTTAGATGAAATTTTGTGAGCCGCATGTGCATTTCTCCAAAAGAAAATAAAGTAGGAGGTTTTTGTTGGGACATTCGGACATCCAACCAGGGAAAGCATGAAGATTTTTGTGGGAAAAGGAGTATTATTTTATAAAATTGAAGTACTTTTGAGCAATTTGTGTCAATTTACAACAACCACAATAACAAACCAGTACAATCTCAACTTTGTTGGGTGGGGAGTTAAGATGCACACAACCTTACTCCATTTAGTGCCCAAAAGCTCTAGAAAGTAAGAAGCAATGGAAATCTGAAGTACCTATCTACCATTTTGATTTTGCCCATCATTCACCTGAATTTATGGCGTCACCAAGAATGATTCTTTTAGCTCCATTGGCAATGTACACATAGTTTATTTCAATTTTTATTTTCTAAATACTCCATCCGTCTAGAAAAATCTCCACTTTTCTTTTGGGGATGTCCCAAATAATGTTCTCATTCCTTTTAAGGAAAGTATTGAATGGTTCACATTATTTCTCTTAACTCTACATAAATCTCAACCATGAAAACATTTTCTCGAAATTTTTTGCTAGAAACATAACCTTAATTAGTTGCAATTAATGGCTGGCATATAAATCTCTGATGTTGAAGATATTTTCTTCAATGACGGTTAGTAATGAGTCATGAAATGCCTTTTTTGTCTGGCCTTCTGGTGCTTGACCTAACAACTACAACTTTAGTAAGGACAAGTTGATTCAGTAAACACACAGGAGTGAGGGTCATGTTTGTCAAACTATAAAGTAAACTCAAGACTTGAAAGTCCATGCATTGCTCATTCTTTTTTCTTCTTCTTTTTTTTTTTTTGAAATTTACTATACAGGATATGCTTCCAGATTATATTCCAATGGGTGTTGCCGAGTCCATTTGTTTTGCAGGAAAGGCAGTCAGGGTTCTTCGTAATCCTAGTTCTACCTTTCAATTTAATAATGCAGCATTGAATCAGCAGGCACAAAGTGTACAAAAGAGATATGAATTCACTGAGGTTTCTTTTCAAAAGAACTCCTCAATGGATTTTCAATCAGTTGGAGAAGATTTACTCCCACAGTCCGAGGCAGATAAGATTGAATCTTTGCTTCAAGACTTGAAGGTCTTATAGATTAACCCAAACATACTGTAGCTAGACATCCTAAAACAATGTCCGAATATTTTCAAATTTTGAAGGATTTTCCACTGTTGCAGTCTTGGAACAATGAGTTTTAATTCCATGGTCTTGTTTCTGTTGCTTAGGCTAAATGGTTGGTTACCTTATTTAGGAATCATCAGAGTTCCACAAGCGAACATTTGAAATGGCTGTTGACTCAATTAAAGCAATTGCCGCTAGTCATCTTTGGCAGGTGCCAATTTGCAAAGCTTAATACAGACCTCATTTTTTTGATAGCTCTTTAAAGTTTTATTGAATTTTGCAGCTTGTAGTTGTACGTGCAGACTTAAATGGCCACTTAAAAGCCCTTAAAGATTATTTTCTTCTGGCAAAGGGTGATTTCTTCCAGGTACGTAATGTTGAATGTTCTTTAGTGCCGTTGTTTTTTCAGTTAGAAGGTTCTAAAAATAGAGTGCACCAATATGCCAGAGTTTCCTTGAGGAGAGTCGCCAGCTCATGCGTTTGCCGCCTCGCCAATCCACTGCAGAAGCTGATCTTATGGTTCCCTTCCAACTGGTTGGTGCATTTTCTAGGCCACGTTCATCAGATGCATAACACTGCAAAAGGATTTACAAGTAAATTGGTTGATTCTTAAAGAAAATTGGCCTTTGTGAATACTACCAACAATATATTGTGTACTCTTATTTAGGCCTTAATTCTTAAAAATGGCTGCCCATTTAACAATATCAACGATCTCCCATTACTTATCCTTGCATTGTGCTGCAATTTTGTAACATGGATAACTGCTTTGCAGGCTGCACTTAAGACTATTGGAGATGAGGATAAACACTTTTCTCGAGTGTCTTTGCGGTTAGAATCTGCTTAATTGTTCTTTTTTTACTGGAGATGTTTGTTAAAATTGATGCTCAAGGTCACCTTTTGTTTTTTAATCCCAGAGTTCCTTCTTTTGGAATTCCACTCAAAACCGCTCAACGTGATTTGCCGAAGCCAAATGCAAATGCTGATGGTGAGCTGGGAGGGCAATCAGATGCTTCATTGGAGATGTCCCTTGATGGATGGGATGCCATTTCACTTGAATATTCTGTTGAATGGCCCTTGCAGTTGTTCATTACTCAGGAAGTCCTCTCAAAGTAAGGCCCAATGCTCTATTGCAGTGTAATTTTAGTTATTACTATGAAGTGTCTTCCGTGAAAGTGGTGTAACATATAGTTTCCTTTTGTTTTGCAATTTTTTGCCTCCACCCCCACAAAAAGGTTTGTTTGACTAAGGTATAACATTTAACGTTTTGCAATGCATGAATCTTATAAAGCATCAATCATACTCATAATTTTTCAATTTATTTGTTGTAATAATAATAATTTGGTTTAGGTACCAAAGAATTTTCCAGTACTTGCTCCGACTTAAGCGGACGCAGATGGAACTAGAAAAATCATGGGCTTCTTCGATGCATCAAGATCACTCAGACTTTGCTAAGCACCGTAATGACCATTCAAAGCCCTCAACATCACAACAACGACGACAACACATTAGACCAATGTGGCATGTAAGAGAGCATATGGCTTTCTTGATAAAAAATCTTCAGTTCTATATTCAGGTAATCTATGTATGACCTTCTATCTTTATTGTTTGCATATGACATACGTAATCACATATACATATGAAGTCATAGTATGCCTCATGGGATCCAACTGGGTTGTTGTTCCGTTGTTGTACCTCAGAGTATGGCTATTTTTATAGATTGACGTATAATTTCAAAGTATTTGGTGCAATATTACTTATCATAACATTAGCCCTTGTTCGGTTGGAGGGGAGGGGAAAAAAGTGAAGGACTGTTGTGTCTGTTTGGGGATTTATGGGGAAGTGTAGGATATAGAAATGCTATACTCCTCCAAACTCCTTAGATATCACTCCCCCATCTTGAAGGTATATAATTTTTCTTAAGTTCTTTTTATATTTAAAATCAAAATTGCAGTATTGCACTACCTTATTGATCTATAATTGTTTATTTGTTTTGCATAATAGGCTAACAATTACAACAAAAAGCATATCAATATGTACATATTTTAGAATTTTCTAAAATTCCATCAACCCCAACTAGCTGGCAGTGAGGTGTTGATAATGATGATGCCGACGATATATTTCTAAAGTACTCTCTATCCCCAAATTCGTTTCTCACTTAGGCCGGTCCTGAAATGAGGAAAATTAGAAAGACCCTGTGCTAAAATATGTATTAGGCCCAATTTTGTTTTGTGTTGAGTAGTTTTATTTTAAAATTAGTTAGTGAAAAATTTGATTCTCATTATCAATCATGCAAAACATTGAAATGAAATATATATTTTTATATTCAAAACATTAATTTTAGAAATTTCGAATAGTAAGAACATTAAACCTCTACAAAATTGAGGTCCCTATGCGGGTGCACATCTTGCACATCCTCAGGGCCGGCACTGCTTCTCACTTTTCAAATTTCATTTTCATCCATGTCAAATACGTAGTACATCTTAACAATTTCTTGAAAGGAAAGAAAATGTATGATGACTATGATCCTTAAGTCTCAACAAAGTGATTAAAATTGGAATGTGTCTGTATTCACTAATTGTTTGATTTGTTGTTCTTGTATTCTTATCCCTATCACTGCTAGTTGATCTTTCTTTCATGGCCAGGTGGATGTTATAGAATCTCAGTGGAATGTCTTGCAGTCTCATATTCAAAATTCTCATGATTTCACAGAACTCGTTGGCTTCCATCAAGAGTAAGTAAAGAGGAAAGCTTGAAGTTGTATCATAGTATCTATTAATTAGCCTGTATTAAGTTGTCGGGCACTAAGGAGCGACAAGCTTTTGGACATTTATGCAGTTACCGCGCAACAAGCTTGCTTGTCTTATGTTATAATTTAGGCTTTGCTTGTCTTATGTTATAGTTTTTTTATGGTGCAGATTAACTTTGAAATTGCTATAGAACTAAACGTTGTTATTTGATAGCTTTTTCAAAACATTAAAGGTAAATGCTGAAGCTCTTGCCAAACGGGCACTTAAAGTGGAGGTTATATGCATGTTGTTAATTTGCAGGTACCTGGCCGCATTAATTTCACAATCTTTCTTGGATATTGGTTCAGTCTCAAGGATTCTGGATGGCATAATGAAGCTCTGTGTCCAGTTTTGCTGGAAGATGGAGAATCAGGTGGGCAACGGAGATATGGGTGAGCTTGAGCATATCGCCGAGGTATGAATGACTCAAAATCTTTCTACTGTGTGCGGACACACAACCAACGGGTCTCATTTTTGAAGTCATTATTACAGGAGGAGAAAAATGCTACATTAATCCCAGGGATGACACCACCACACACACAATCACTCACAGTGGCGGTGTCAACCTTGATGTCATCCGTGGTGTGACTGTAGCATGACCTAATCAAATTGGTTACACCTTTTCTACAGGAATTTAACAAAAAATCAAACTCCTTATACACAATACTCCGAAGTAGTAAGCTCGCTGGGAGTCAAAGAGCACCGTTCCTCAGGCGTTTCCTTCTGCGTCTCAACTTCAATTCTTTCTCTGAGGTAATGTTTTCCCCCAGAAGCTTCCCGAGCAGTCTCTAGATCCTCTTCAAATAAGTCTTACATTTTGGTGTATATGATGATGATGATGATTTTACCAGGTGATTGCATTGAATGTCGTTGGGCATCGCCCACATCTTGCTGTTTAGCCGACTACCTTTTGTTTTCTGCCTAAAATGCCCTTAAATTTCAGTGGGGAAATGAAGGTAAGCTATTTAAAATGCTTTGGGGGTGCCCTTGGCATGTTGTTATCCTTTCTTTAATATGTAACACGTAGTATTTGGAAGGATGCATTCTTTCAATCCCCTCGTGTGTAATATTGCTGTGATTGACACGCTTGATTCAGTTTTCTCCCAAATCACTCTTTCAATCAAACTTTGCTTTGTGTTATTCAATTAGTATTAAAATGTGAAATTTACACAAATTGTAACTGTAACATAATTAAATATAATGAGTTGATTAATCAAAAATTAAGTAAAATCTTCAGCAAATTCACATGGGCATGGCATATATACATCTATAAGTTGCACAATACTCATTTTGTACATTTACCTTTTTCTTTGCATATACTTTGAGTATGTATATTATGAAATTGGTCTTTGCACATTTAATAATCACACAATGCTCATTTCCTTGCAAAAATTTTTTTTTTAAAAACATTTTGTTACTCACAATAACATTTCCAAAATTACAATATCACTTTCCATTTTCTTTTCTTTTTCCTTTCAATTTTTTATATTATTTTATAATGACAATATTTATGGTGGATTTAAGGTCTATCATGGACTTGCATATAAGTAAAATAAACATTTTCTTACTATTTAAATAAGAATTTGTATTTTTTAATTGAAAAATAAAAAAAATTATATGAGAAAGTCTACAAAAATAGTATGCACTCAAAGTGTACTATGAAAGCACTTTTTTATAATACTTATTTTAATTAGAATAATTAATCTAAAAACATAAAATACAACAAAAAGTTACTAAAGTAGAATTTAAATTTAGCATTTAATTAAAATTTATTTAAGAAATACAGTAAAATTAAATCATATTTAAATACAAGTGCATAAAAACTATATACTAAAAGTAATGAGTAATAGTTCGTCTAAAAAAATCTAAGAAAAGATTAGGTCTTAGCTTGATTAAACTAGTTACAACACGTTTAAGGAAAAGATGTTCTTCTTCACACCTATTTAAATAAATTTTCATATGAAGGTGTTAAGCAAATGTTTGCTATTCACAAGCAAGGCGTTAACCATTTCATGTGTTGTACGGAGTATTACTCTTTTCATATCTAGGTAATGTTCGTTTCTTGATTTTTTTTAGAGTATGAAAACTTTAAAAAAAATACTCGTATGTTTTAAATTTATATAGAGAAAAGAAAAATTACAACGACCAACACATTCTATAATTTAAAAGCAAATTTTAAAAAGGAATTTACTTAAGTACTTTTAAAATTTTATTTATTTATTTTTTATGATTGAGGTGCCAAGCTCAAAAATTTTATTTAATTATTTTTTATGATTGAGGTGCCATTCTCTAACATGCATATGAAAGTAAATCTGGGTTTAGTTGCAAAGATACTTGTCCCATAAGTTTAACTCACTATTACTATGAAAAAAAGTTTACGGTGATCCCATACAATTTTTTACAATTAATTATTTTCTGTTTTGGTAATAAATATAGCAAGTAGGAAAACAAAATAGATTGTTCATGTTTTTCCATAAAAAAGTTTTTCATGTTTTTATTTATGGAGTATCAAATACAGAGTAGAACCTAGTGCGAACTGCGAAGTACTCCGTATATTTTATATTTTGGAGCATTTTTTTAAGAATATGTGAAATACAAATAAACAGTATCACATTGTTACAACATATATTCTTATTTTGAAAATTAAAAGTATAGAATTCCTCCTAGTTTTGATAATTTTTCTATATTTTAAAATTATTATAAATGATTTGTTTTTAAACTAGTGAAGTCAAATTGGGAAGGGAGCGTATAAGATTGATTAGAGGGTACGCGTTCGGCCTTCCACCAACTCCCCTCGCCGTCTTCATCATCATCTTCTTCCTTCCTCACCAGAAACACTTGAAGAAAATGGATCCGAAAAGCTCCCGAAGTGAAATTCAAGAACCAGAAGAACAAGAAATTGAAGAGCAGCAGCAGAAGAAGAAGATCCAATCTATTGCTCCTCATCTCCCCATTGCATCCATTTCCCTATCCTTATCCACAATCCTCCCTTCCCATTTCCTCAATCCGCCCAAAATCTTCGCCCAACCCGCCGCCGCCACTGTCAAAGT